GCTGCAATATAACAAAGAGTGAAAAATTGAAGGGGGTCTGAATACTTTCCGTACCCACTGTATATATATATATATAAAATAATAGATGTAATTTTTTATCTGCTTTTTTAGGCTAGTGAAAACACTAGTGTCTGCAGAAAGAAAGAAAAAAACCTTACTTTTTATCCGTGTTCAAGGGTGGACTATGACTTGACAACTACTCAGAACACCTTAGCGACTATCCAACACATTAGCAATGCCCTGGCAAACCAGAGTTTTGAACAGTCAAGAGAATGTAGAAATCTGTCTTAATGAGCTGTTCTTTGTGTTTATATGCACACACAAGTGTTTTAGAGCGACTTCTTCCACTTGCGTTTTCAGCCAGATGGCAATTTGCCCAAATTAGGAGCCCGATCTTCTTTACTGCCTAGGTTGGGTAAAGCATGTTAAATAGTTTGACCACGTTAATCCAGTGACACTAACTTATTTATTTGTGTTAATGAAATCACTGTTAATAATTTACAAGTGTTAGTGAAGCGTCTTTAATTATCTGTTCTGTAAGACTCCCTCTCTACTGGTGTATCTTCTTTCTCTCTCTCTCTGTCTGTCTGTCTCTTACTTGTTATATTCTCTCTTTTCCTCCCTATGTCCTTTTTTATTGATGTGCCTTTGAATTGTACAATGTGCATAAATGAGCATATATTTCCCTTGTCATTTTGTTTATGTATTTTTATATACATGTGCCATATATAAGTTTGTGTGCGCATATAAATGCACGTCGTGCTTTAGTAAAGCGATCCCCAGACTATGAATAATAAACGCTGTGAAGGCCCAGCCCCCTCTCTGTCGCTGTCCTCTCCGTTTTCATTTGCTTTCTCTCACAGATTATGTGACCACGCTGAGCACAGTAATTATTCATGAGCTCGGTGCCTGCACGAGAGAGCCTCCGGCTCCGAGCTGAGGCCCCGCTCCAGCTGCATGCAGGGGCCCATCGGCCGGCGCGGGTCAGACGGCGACACCTTACACCGCAGACGGCGAGGAAACACTCACCCAGCCACACTCTGGATAAATAAAAGATGCCCACAAAAGAGAAAAAAACGACAGAAACCGAAGGAGAGGAGAAGGAGCCAACGGCGAAAGGAAAGAGTAAGAGGGACTCAAAAACGAGACAGAAGATCTCCGAGGAGAAGATAGAAAGCACTGAGACACCTACAGAGAAGAGAAAAAAGAGCGAATCTGTGAAAGAGAAAAAGAAAAAGAAGAAAAAAGAAGATGTTGAGGTGACAGAGAATGACAACGGGACGGATGAGCAGAACAACAATGAGCCCATCAGCAAAGAAAAACGGACCTCAAACGAGGAACGGGAGGTAAGGAAAGAGAAGAAAAAGAAGAGTAAACCATCCGAAAGCAAAGAAGGACAAGAAGACATGGGCTCCAAGGAGAAAAAGAGCAAAGACGGCAAGAAAAAGAAGAAGTCGGCCGAGGAAGAGGAGGATGAGGATGCTGTGCAAGAGGAGGCAGAGGAAGAGGAGGATAAGAAGAAGAAGAAAAAGGATAAAAAGAAAAAGAAGGGTTCCGACAGCGACGAGGAAAAGAAAGCGAAGAAAGGGAAGAAGTCAAAGGTCAAACAGGTGGATTATGCTGAGGTCTACCAGGAAGAGCTGCTGAGCTATCACACGGAGGAATCGGATGATCAAGAAGATGAATTCAACAAAAAGAAAGGTAAACTCTGGAAGAGGATTCCCCTTCTGTTCTTCTTTTTATTCTTTTCAGTCTTTGAATTGAAGTAAAGAGAAAAGTAGATCAGCTGAGGTTTCCCCAAAACAGAATTTAATGCATTTATTTATTTGCCCTGAGAATGAAACTTCTGTCATCATTTGTTACTCCAAACATGCTGTTATGGTTTACTGTGAAAGAACACCATGCAAAACACAGCAACCATGACTTTTGAGCTTCATGAAAGCACCATAAAAGTAGCCAATACTGAAATTTCAGAACTTGGAGAAGATTATCAATGAACAACCTTGTCACACAAAGCTATCATACACCTTCTGAAGGAATTCAGTTCAGACGGTATATGGACTATAGTTCTATTGTGCTTTTGTTGTCCTTTTTGTAGCTTGACAGTCATGGTTTATACGAATTGTCCTCCAAAATGTCTCTTTTTGTGGTTCCTTATTGGCTCTGATGGTTCTATGAAGAACCTTTAATATAGAACCCTTTGAATACACAAAAGTTTCTTCAGACGATTACAATGTTCTTCAAACTAAAAAAGAAAAAGGTAAGGTTCTTTTAAGAACTGTTCACATTTCTTTGGCCATTGCTGCGAAAACCCCTTTTGGAAGCTTTATGCAGGTTTGGAACAATGTGAGGGTGGATAAGTGTCAGATATGTCAATTGTTGATGAACTATCCTTTTAAATGAGCAGATCGCATTTGGAGACTTGGTTAAGTGTAAAGCCACAGCACCCGACCTACTGTCAAACTGTCTGTCTTCTGGGGATGAACTGTTTCTCTCTCTCTCTCTCTCTCACTGCGTCTGTCTGTCTCTTTCTCTGCTTTCACTCTCAGTCAGGCACCCCCTCTTCTTGGTTTCTCACAGGTTGGATTTCTTTTAACCCTGGAACATCTCTTAATTGATTACTTGAACATTGGAGAAAGCTGAAATAGACAAAGGAGGAATGGAGACAGAAATAAAGATTCTTCGATGGAGTTGCACACTCTTAATATAAAGGTTCTTTATTGGCATCAGTGGTTCCATGAAGAACCTTCAACATCCATAAAACCTTTCCAATGCACAAAAGGTTCTTTATAGTGGAAAGAGATTATTTAGATGTTCTTTTAAGAACTCTTCACTGAAAGGTTCTTTGGGGAACCAAAAATTGTTCTTCTGTGGCATCGCTGTGAAACCAACCTTTTGGAACCTTTATTTTTAAGAGTGTGTATATTAAACAGTTTCTTGTTGTTCTGCTTACTATTCTAATTGGAATTTTATGTTTCAGAGTGTCTGATATGTTTAACTGATTTGCAGTAAAATTCTGATCATTCCATTAACGTCCAGTCAGAGAACCTTCCGGATTTCACATTGGCAGGCGGTTCTAGTGGTCTCTGATTGGCACAGCAGAGGTGTGTCTGGATTGACCGATTATTACGGTGTCCTGGCAGCAGGGTATCATAAGAGAATGGTGGCGGGCACTGGGCCAATAGTGGATTTGAATCAGACGGGCACCTCTCTATGGCCTGAAACATTAAACTCTAATTGGCCTTTTCATGGAACCATTAAAACCTCATTCAGCGAGATGGATGTCATGCTGTCAGGTTCAGTCAGGCGTAGCACATCGGGGTGGAGGTTATCGCTTAGCACTGATCCAGGGGTACCTTACCTATTGCAGTATATGTATAGGCCTTCTCTCTCTCTCTCTCTCTCTCTCTCTATATATATATGTGTGTGTGTGTGTGTGTGTGTATAGATATATGTGTGTGTGGCAATGTTTAATCGCGATTAATTGCATCCAAAATAAAAGTTTTTTTGTATACATAATATATGTGTATGTACTGTGTATATTTATGTCTATATATATAGATAAATACACACACATGCATTTATATATATATATATATATTATTATTATTATTTTTTTTTTTTATGGGCTTTTTTATGGCTATATTAGGAAAGGACATTGTAGACTAGACAGGAAAGCATTGGGTGAAGAGAGAGGGGAGCAGGATCGGCAAAGGACCACAAGCCAGGATTCGAACTCGGGTCGCCGTAAACGCAGTTGCGCTGTATGTCGGCGCACTAACCGATTCTGACTAACCGATAATGATTCAACCGGTAACTTATAGGTTGATTTTTTTTTTGATCGATTCCTTAAGTGAACCGGTTCATAAGAGTCATTTGTTAATGAATCAAAGTACACTAGTCATGCTGTATGTGTTGAGAAGAACTGGGAGGACATTATAATAGGATCATTTGTTTGAATAACCTATAAAATACATTAAGAACTCTCCTAATTTTAAAGAACTATACAGCAACTTCGTACAGGGTTATTTTCTGAAATAAGAGAACAAGGATATCACAACAATTGACCTATATTGATTGGTTACACTCAAATGGTGTCCAGTCTCTGAATCCCATTTCAGGGGGCCTGAAACTTAAACTTTCAGGGAGTTTAAAAGAAACTTAACATGTTCCAAATTAACCCTGTTTGAACGTTACTTCTAGACACGCTGCTCCTCAGGTTCAGACATAGGTCACATGTTGAGCATCAGGGCCATGTCGTACTCTCACTCCGTTAACATGGCTAAGTTACAGAGATATTGCTTACAGCAATTTAGCTTATACAAACATGGGAGAGCTTAGAATAGCAGGTTGTTGGGTTACACGGGATATACCTGAGCACTCTGCATTTGAGACTACAAACCTTCTAATGTTATGCAAATGAAAACAAGATGCCTTCTTTTGCGGAGGGTCAGATATAATTGGTTTACCAAATGTTCTCGTTTCTCCTCAGTGTACGAGGCGGTGACCGTCACAGGTGATGTTAAAGGCGCTGGGACTGATGCTAATGTGTTCGTCACCTTGTATGGAGAGTTTGGAGTGACTCCCAAAGTTCACCTGGCCAGGAAGTAAGTTATGCTTCAATCCTGCGTCTCTACATGACAATGTTAATCTTGAGAGTTTCCAGATGCACATTGACTGCAAATTATTATTTGTCATTATTAGTATTAGTATTTTCTAGTGCTGTCAAATGATTAATCATGATTAATCCAAAATAAAATCCGCATCCAAAATAAAAGTTGTTGTTTACATAATATATGTGTGTGTACTGTGTATATATATTATATCTTAAATATATTTATATATAATATAAATTATATGAATATAAATATATACATGTAAATAATTATTTTCTAAGTATATACTGCATGTGTGTATTTATATATGCATAATAAATATACACAGTACACACATATATTCTGTAAACAAAAACTTTTATATTGGATGCGATTAATTGTTTGACAGCACTAGTAGTTTCATTATTTATAATTGCAGCTTAATCAAATTGGTTTAATGCATATCAAGATATGTTTACTAACTACTTCAAATAGTTTTTTGTAGGGATGCACGATATTGGATTTTTGCCGATATCCGATATGCCGATATTTTTCAACTCATTTTGGCCAATAGCCGTTGCCGTTGCCGATACGATATATTTCCTTTTGTTTGGAAACATAACCAAGTCTCTCCTGTGTGACAATTCTAACCAAATAATTTTTAAATTTTGGTTAGATTTTAACTAGAACTTATTTGTTAGAATTAAATAAACAATAATGAAGTTCTTTTATAATGACAGTAAATTGAAGCTTTGAAAATAACTATAAATAAACTATATATCAAGCGCTGCATTTTTTTCTCTCAGAAAGATGCAGTAGTAACCTTAACATTTTATTTTAAGATTTAACATTTGTAGATGGTCTAAAGCAAGAGTTGTAAAAATTCAGAAAATCTTTTAGAGCTCATAATTTGTTTAAAAAATATAACATATTACACATTAATGAATAAAGCAGTATATATAAAATTATTAAATTTACAAGTGTCATGTTTGTGATTAGCTATAGCTTCTGACCTTTAAATCAAAACATACTCATTAATTACTGCTTTATTTAATCAGAAACACAGTCTATATATTATTTGTGTATTTTGCTTTTATTTTATTAGAAGTAGGCCAACAGCGCCCCCTACGGAATTAAAACTCCTTACCAAACGGGCATTAGGACCCAGGGGAGGCTGTCACTGCTGCCACTGCACGTGCTATTGCTGTTTACTCTTTCATACACCAAACGCATCATTCTGTACATGCATTCTCAATTTAAATGCAGCGATCTAATCATCATTCAGGCAAAACTTTGCTTCAAGAATGAGCCACACTGCTGACCTGAGCTAATCTCTAGCACACCCTGAGCACATGTGAGTTAACGTATTCCTCTTATCGGCAAGACATATCGGCATAATGTTTCATATCGGGCCAATGCCGATATTTACATTTAACGTCGTTATCGGCCGATTTCGATATAGGTCCGATAATATCGTGCAAAAATAGTATTTTGTTCTCAACTTTTTCAAGTGTGAGCTGAATTTTCTAGTATTTTTGAGGTAAAACTTTAAAGGAACAGTTCACTCAACAATGAAAATTTGTTGCCATCCAAAATATAGAGGTGTTTGATCTTCATCAGAAAAGATTTGGAGAAATGTAGCTTTACATCACTTGCTCACCAGTGAATCCTCTGCAGATTTTTGAAGATTATTATTAGTGTGTTTGACAGGATTATGTCTACTTCAAAACTTTATGTTTACTTCTGTTTCAAAGGAAATCCTACACTGATTTCAGTATAGTGCAGAATAACTAGGAATTTCTGTGGATTTTGACAGGACAGTGCATATATGTCATGTTAATTCTATAATTCTGTATTCTTCTCTAATCTACAGCACAGAAAAGAGGTATAACTTTAACATGGCCACCTCATCTGCTCGTGTGTGGCCGTGCATTGCTTTTTGCACACAGTGCTGTACAAGAGAACATCCTGTGTGCTTTGACCATGACATTCACACCATCACATCTTTGGGAAATAGATATTGTTTTCTTAGTAGGGCTATACGATTATTCATGACATGAATTTTAATCACGCTTGGCTCATCCATTGCACACAATGCCATGGTGAAGCACAGGTTATATGCTCTCCTCTGTACAGCATCACCACGGACATTCATCTCATCTGAAGGTGAAGAGATTCATGTGACGTTCTCATTGAACCAATGAGAGGCTACAGTCATATGACATCACTTCCTTTTGTGAGAAAACATGAGAAGTTTACACATCTGATCACCGCAAACAGGTAGGCTACTCATAGAAATCTCCACACATACATAATGTCCCATGTATGCGTGTTGATTTTTTATGAGTACAAAGAGAGACCCTCAAAACTCTCCCTACAGTAATCAATCGTCCTGATCAGCGCTGGAGCAAATGATTCAGAAATTAATTACTAATGGGAGAGTTTTTACTTGCTCAGATGAACGCCCAAATGGTTAATGTTGCATAATGACTCATAAAACATTACAAATGCAGTAAAAAGGTCAGAAATGGAAATCAGATGTAGTTTAGAAGAAAATTGTATGAACAATTCATAAGCAAGACTCCAGTAGACTAACTTTATTCATAAATCATTCGGAAGCTTAGTTTGTATGTCTCAAAATGAATGATTTTACAACCTATTTGAGAAATATTGTATAGCCTGTTTGGGTAGTTGGGTGCATCTCACGAAACTTGTCAAGGACATGTCTGGGTTCAGTTTCGCCTCATTGGACCCTTTTCACACCCCAGGGTTCTCAGAAGTGGAAGCTTATATTTTTAAGCTTTTTAAAGATTTTTTTGCATTGTGACATAATTTTCATGACATGTTTTCATGGGATTCATCCAGTCAGGGAAAGACTCATCTATTAGGTAAATCTATTCAGTAACTCCTCCTCAGAGAGTTTCAGCAGAATAGAACAGAAATGTTTTTGGACTTGAATTCTGTCCGACAGTCAGAATGCAACATTTTGGAATCGAGATGATATTTAACGGAATCTCTGAATCTGTCTAAATGTCATCATTTCCAAAGTTTGCTGGTGCGGTTTCAGTGTGCTGATCTCAGGTGAGATGTGTGTTGGTTTCTCCGCATCGATAAGTCTGTGTGTATGTGTGTGAGAAATTTGGCAGTGTGAGTGGGATGTGTAATCCATACTGGGTGATTTTTAATTCATGCATTTCGCATTTTGATTAGAGAGATGCTTTTGCCGAAGCCAACGCAAGAGACCGTAGAGCGATATATGGGTCATCGATAATGACAGATGGTTCTTTCTCATAAACACACACTCCTGCATTGTAATTTTTAGATGTCGGTGCATTAGAAAGTTTGAGTGTCACAGTAAATTGTTTAGTTTGAGTCTATTCACAGACTGATTTCTGTTCATTTCAGGAGCAGAACAGCCTTTGAAAAGAACAAGACTGACGTCTTTCGGATCAAAACACACAATGTTGGGCCAATAAAGAAAATTAGGTACATATACGTCTGTATACATCCAAGAGTAACTACCTTAAAGGCAAGTCTTGAAGGGTTCAGCAATATATGTCTTGTGATGTACTTCCTGTAATGCAGAATCGAGCATGATAACACGGGCATGAGTGCCCGTTGGTTCCTGGACCGGGTTATCGTGACTGACATGAACAGGCCACACCTCCGATTCTTTTATGCCTGCAACAATTGGCTGAGCAGAGACGAGGGGGACAGACTTACTGTTCGATATCTGTTGGGTAGCCTGAACCCCATGGACATTCCAAAACGTATGTTGTATGCTTGCAAAACAGAGAGCAAATAAACAAATCACATTACTTTTTTTTTTCATTTTATTTTATTTTAGCACTTGAAAAATGTGACACAAATCTAGTCAAAATTTTCATTGTCTAGAACAATTTTTGATTTTTTTTTGCTAGAAATAATAAATGTCTTGCAAGTATAAAACATGATATTAGGTTAAACTGTTATTTTATTTTATTTTATTTTATCACTTGAAAAATGTGACACAAATCTAGTCAAAATTTTCATTGTCTAGAACAATTTTTGATTTTTATTTTGTTATAAATGATAAATGTCTTGCAAGTATAAAACATGATATTAGGTTAAACCATTCTTTTATTTATTTACTTTTTTTTGCCATGAATCTGTTCAAACTTTGATTGCCTAGTTAGACACATTTTTTATAATTATTAAACATTTTGCATTTAGTATACACACACTAACACTACATAAATAACACATGTGCATTGCATGACACTGTCATTTTCCCATAGAGATCTGTAGCATAAATAAAGATAACAAGAAACAAGATACTACAACTCTCAAATAAAAACACTACTAATAAAAAACTACATGTAACCTACAGATATACTTCAGGTCTTATTCCATATAACCCATAGATAACATCACATAGGTCATGTGATCATGATCATAGATGATGCATGCATACAAGCATCACCAGACTCAGGTTGCATACAAAGGATTAGGAGAAATTTAGTAGTAGAGTAGAGTTTCAGATGGGGATCACAATATCACCAGTCCAACATTCCCAGATACCGCTGACAATATAACATTACATCCCACAGATAGGAGAAAGACTAGATGTAGAAGCTGTTTCTGAGAAAGAGCTCACTGGTGGTTTTAATGATAGATAATGGTCAAAAATACATGGTGCATGCAAAAAATAAAAATGATAACAGATTTTGTCCTAAAAATGTCTTAATGTGTGTCTGTTCATATATTGCAGAGAACAAGTACATAGCCAGTGTCTTCACAATGGATGCTAAAGGCAGTGGGACCGACGCTGATGTCTACCTCAATATTTTTGGAGAGTTTGGGGATACAGGTCAGTAAAACCAGTCAATGTTTCTGTGTGTGTTATTTTATGTTGTAAAAAAACATACACAAAGGTCAAACTTTAATTGCCTAGAACATTTAAAATTATTATTAGATATATTTTTTACAATTATAAAACATGCTTTTATGTTAAACCATTATTTTATTTTATTTTATTTTACCACCTGAAAAATGTGCCATGAATCTAGTTACACTTTTGATTGCCTAGAACATTTAATTTTTTAATTAGACATACAGTATTTCTTACAATTACAATACTCATTTATTTATTTTTAATTACATTTTAAATTTCTTACAATTTTCAGTACTAAATACAGTCAGTGTATCTATGTGTATGTGTTAGTTTTTTATGTTGCACTGCCTTGGTGTGATGTTCGCAGGAGAACGGAAGCTGGTCAGCGATGGAAAGGACAATTTTGAGCGCGGTAATGAAGACAAATTCATCATCGAAGCACCAAATCTTGGCAGACTTCGAAAAATCACCATCGGACATAACAACAAGGGGTCGTCTGCTGGCTGGGCGTGTGATAAAGTACACAAACGCACTTTTCATCTAAAACCTTCATAAAGATTATCTTTGTCTCTGTCCTCTGTGATTAATATGATGTCTTTGTGTTATGGTGATGTGTTTTAGGTTGTAGTAGATGACATGGGGAATAAGGAGGTTTATGAGTTTCCTGTCAATGCCTGGTTTGACATCTCAGAAGGGGACGGCAAAATACAAAGAGATGTGCTTGCCGGAGCCACGCAGCCAATGGGTAAGAGCAAGTATGCGTGTTTGTTTATTAGAATAAGTGCACTTGATTAATAAAACTTACTTGGATTTGTTTGTTTGTGTATGTGCGTGTAGCGATTGTGTATAACGTACAGGTGATGACGGGTGATATTCGTGGAGCCGGAACTAACTCTAAGATCCACTTCGTCATGCACGGGCGTAAGGGTATTAAGAACAGCGGTAAGTTGTTCCTGGAGGGCGGCACGTTTGAGCGCGCTCAGATCGACATCTTTAACGTCGAGCTGCTGGAGCTGCTCAGCCCGCTCAGCAGAGTCACGATCGGACACGACAACGCTGGGATCAGCTGCGGCTGGTATTGCGAAAAGGTGTGTGTCGGGGCTATAAGGTGTTTTGAAGCTTTCATTACTTATTCATACATACAGCGTGTGATCTGTCGCTCTCTTTCTCTCTCTCACAGGTGACAGTATACTGCCCGTTCACAGGTTTAGAGCAGGTATTTCCCTGCGGCAGGTGGTTGGATGAAGATGATGGTGATGGACTGGTGGAGCGAGAACTGTATGAGATGGTCTCACTCAGACAGAAAAAGCAAAAGAGTGAGCAAATTATCAAACTATCAGGGGTAATGTTCACTAAACATGCTGTATTGCAGTGTAAAGACCTGCATCTTGTTCACTAACCACCTACAGTCTAGTGTAACCTGACACTAAATGTGCAGAAATAGTGCTGTGTTGTATTTAAAGGGATAGTTCACCCAAAAATGAAAATTCTGTCATTAATTACTCGCCCTCATGTCGTTCCAAACCCGTAAGACCTCGGTAGCTTCACAAAATGTAGCCACTGATGTCACATGGACAGTTTTACCGATGTCCTTGCTATGTTTCTGGACCTGGGAACATTTCAGTTGTGCTGCTGTCTATGCAGGGTCAGAAAGCTCTCGGATTTCATCAAAAATATCTTCATTTGCGTTTCGAGGATGAACGGAGGTCTTACGGGTTTGGGCGAACTAACCCTTTAAGCTAAATTGAAAAACATTCAATGAATAATAATAATAAAAAAAATTATAAAAGGGGTTAACATCAATATTAAAAAAATATATATTCATAACAGCAATAAAATCAACAAGAAAATAAAGGTATGTTCATAAAAAGTAATAAAATCAACAAGAAAATAAAGGTATGTTCATAAAAAGTAATAAAATCAACAATAAAATATATTGAAATGAAAATAACATCAATGATAGAATATGTCTATAATATTAGTCATAAAAAGAATAAATACTATTAAAATACCACTCATAAAAAATAACAACAATAATATAATTATAAGAAATATTAAAATCAATGATAAAAAAATCAATCATAAAAAAATATATATTCATAACAGCAATAAAATCAACAAGAAAATAAAGGTATGTTCATAAAAAGTAATAAAATCAACAATAAAATATATTGAAATGAAAATAACATCAATGATAGAATATGTCTATAATATTAGTCATAAAAAGAATAAATACTATTAAAATACCACTCATAAAAAATAACAACAATAATATAATTATAAGAAATATTAAAATCAATGATAAAAAAATCAATCATTGAAATAATAAAATACAATTCTATGAATAATTAATGATGAAATCAGTAATAAAATACAATTATATTTATAAAATAATAACATAAATTATACAGTTCTATTAATAAAAATAATAACAATCAATAATCAAATAGTTATATTCATAAAAATCTATTACATTTATTAAATGAAAATAAAATTATATTCATAGAAATAATGACATCAATGATACATCTTAATAAAAATAATAACATTAATAATAAAATTAAGTTCTATTCGCAAAAAAATGATAACATTTCAAAGTAATGTTGAATTGACTCTTCCACCATCGAGACACACAAGTTCATCTTTTTTCTGCGTGTTTGTGTGTGTGTTTCTCAGAATTCCCCTGGTCTCTGTGGATCTGGACATCTGAGATTAAAGGTGCTGGCACAGATGCCCAGGTGTTCCTGCAGGCGTACGGAGAGACCGGCAAGAGCGACGAGATGAAACTCGAGAGCAAATCGGACAGTTTTGAACAGGGACAGTGCGACAAATTCATCGTATGTCTGTGTGTCTTTTTATCTTTGTGTCTCATTCTAAAAATATACATATTTGTATAAAGTGTCAATTTATCTATGTCATTACAGTAGATAAGTATATATCAGTATTTCTAACGCAGTGTCCAGAACTTAAAAATGTTGAATCTTATCAAAATAAGTTTTTGTGTTTTACATTTTCGCTGTCGCTCTAGATTGAGATGCCCGATATCGGAAAGATACGCAAGCTGAGAATCTGGCACGAAAAGAGGAATCCTTTCTCTGGCTGGCATCTTGGCAGGGTGAGAGACCTGCACTACTGACTAGTGCACTATTACACGGAAACAATTTGTCCAGTTCACACTGTAATCATGATGTAAGCAAGCAGGCATCATGTTTTCTCCGCTACTTGCACTGGTTCAATTTAAAATGAACATGTAGCTTAATGTAGCTTTATATTCTTTCTAAATGTTGTTTCTATTTGTATTTCTTCAAATTTTTCTGCATAAAGGTGACATTGATGAAGACCCTAACTAGGGAGAAATATTCATTTGCTTGTAACCGTTGGTTGGACATCAATGAAGATGACAATGAAATCATTAGGGAACTGCCAGCTACCGGAAAACTCGTGCCAGAACCGTTACCACGTGAGAAAATCTACAAAACATACATTCACTCTTGACCCTTTTCACCCTTTTTAAGGGGAGACACTGCAGGCAAAAGCACTGTTTTTTCATGCACCTGTCAATTTTGAGATTTTGGGCTTTTTGGCTTTTCATAAAGTGTTTTTTCAGACTAGTGGAAAGAAAACATCCAAAAGACACTGTCAAGTGTTTCTTTTATAGCACTTTATCTATCTGTGTCAATAGATTTAAATTACAATACATATTTTTAAAGGCCGTTTTCTCAAAATGAGTTTTTTCTCCTTACACTGAGCCATAAATCTCCACTTCAGTAGCACTTACACACACACCAAACTTAAAATTTTTATTCCTGTCTATATTCTGAAGGTTTTTACAGAGGGATTTGTTCATATATAATCTTTTTGATTATATACAACATTTTATTTCCCCCAAAATTGTGAAAATATATTGTTTTCTGGCTGTTCAAAGTATTTTTTGAATTATGGAGTGACAAAAAGAGATACCCCAAATTCCCTCTGTAAAAACATTCGCCTGTAATATGTCAAAAAAAAAAGAATTTTGAAACTGACTTCACTCAGTGTTCAGATTTTTGTACTAGAAATGTATGCAAATTAGCGGATATTTCATTAAAGAATACCTCATTTGCATATTTAAACATAACATTTTACAAAACTTGTAAAACAAAAAATGTTTGCAATTATCAATGTAATCAATCAACTGGGTAAGTAAGGTGATAATTAGTAGTTAATTTTTTTTACCCTATTCACCTGCAGTGTCTCGCCTTGTGTCACAAAAATTTTTCTTCATTTATGTGCTTTGGACTAAGATATAATCCCAAGCTCAGTCATGCATTATATTAGTAGTTGACAGTAAGAAAAAAACAATTTTACAAGCAAAGAAAAAGATTTGTTAGATTTTTGTATATTACTATTTATATGTGACCCTGGACCACAAAACCAGTCATAAGGGTCGATTTTTGGATAGGACGATATTTGAAAATCTGGAATCTAAATATTGAGAAAATCGCCCTTAAAGTTGTCCAAATGAAGTTCTTAGCAATGCATATTACTAATCAAAAATTAAGTTTTGATATATTTACGGTAGGAAATTGACAAAATATCTTCATCGAACATGATCTTTTTTAATTTTTGGCATAAAAGAAAAATCGATCATTTTGACCCATACAATGTATTGTTGGCTATTGCTACAAATATACCTGTGCAACTTATGAGTGATTTTCTGCTCCAGGGTCACATATATGTTTTTTATTGCTGTTTAATAGTTATTAAATATCGTGTGACGATTTGCACGGGAAACATCAGCGGAAGTGGGACAGATGCCAGTGTTTATTTAAACATCATTGGTGACTTGGGAGACACTGGAGAGCGTCTGATGTTCATGAGCCAAAACAACGCTAACAAGTTTGAGAAAGGAAACGTGAGTAATGACATTTGACATGCTGGCATGAAACATGTGCATATACATGTATCATGGATTCCACAAAAATATTAAGAAGCATAGCTGTTTTCAACATTGATAATAATAAGAAATGCTTCTTAAGCAGCAAATCAGCACGTTAGAATGATTTCTGAAGGGTCATGTGATTCATCTCAGGAATAAATTATATTTTAAAATATAGAAAAAATAGTCAAATATTTCACATTATTTCGGTTTTTACTGTATTTTTTAACATTTAAAGGCAGCCTTAATTTAATTATATATAAATAAATAGCCTCATTATATCAGAAATGACAACCGAATGGCACTTGATGAATGAAACATGCAAAATAATTGTCATATGACAACAATCTACTACTGTTTAAAATATTTATTGCTGAATAATGTGTACTGTTTACATAAAGTTGTATGCTACATTGCTGTCACAAGACCTCATTAAAGTCAGTGTGAGATGTCCAGCTTTCAACCTAAAATGCAATGTTTTTTTCACATTTCTAAAATATCTATACCCTATAATGCATAACTATACTACCCTATAATGTCTTAACTTTTGGTAATCTGATTAAATAATGAGTGGCTAGAGATGTTATATCCGGTTCATTCTGAAAATGAAATCTAAAGATAAACACATTGCATTGTGGGATACAGAACCCTGTATATATGTGCATAATATACGTACTTCATACTGCAGAAGTAGTATGTGTTAACTCTTTTCTCAGCATGATGAGTTCCTGGTAGAGGCGGTCACACTGGGACAGATCAAGAGGGTTCGGATTGGTCACGACGGACGAGGCGGAGGATGTGGCTGGTTCCTGGATAAGGTGATGATCAGAGAGGAGGGGCAACCTGAGGCGTCATCCATCGAGTTCCCATGTTACAGGCAAGGCAATCTAACAAACATTAGCTTGTGTGCTAAAGCATATTTCAAGCTCACTTGTTGTCAGTATAAGTACATACATATATGTGCGCGTGTCTGGCCGGGTAAAGAACATGGGAGAGTGGTGTTTAAGTCAATTATGTAGTTGAGAAAACTGACTCTGGTTACTAATGGACACTAATGAGTGCCGAGGAAACCCTACCTACATCAACAAGAGAGCTCAGCTACACACACACGCCTATAACACACACACAAATACACACACTCATCCTGCACATTCCCATACTGTATCTCTCTCTGTCTCATCTCAGGTGGCTGGATCGTAATGAAGACGACGGGCAGATTTTGAGAGAGTTAGTCCCTACTGATGATGGTCAACGTTTGTTCAGTCAGTGAACACATACAAACAAACATTATCACATACAAAAAAGTTAAATGTATGCAACAATGAAACAAAACGTACTTTGTATTTCTGTGTACATAAATATAGGCTAGATACAATAGGTTTTGACGTGTGTGTTTTTGTTCCAGCTGTTGGTTATCACATTGCTATAAAGACAGGCAGTATTAATGGTGCCAGCTCAGATTCGAAGGTGTTCGTAAAGCTGTACGGAGAGAAAAACGACACCAACAAGATGCTGCTGGTCGTCTCCGATAACGACCTGGGGAACTATTTTGAGACGGGACAGACGGACATCTTCACCATAGAGACCTTTGACATTGGCAAGGTATGCTACCTGTTCATGTTCAGCAAATTTACCCAGTCTAAAGTTAAAATTTGATTCTATTCTATTCTATTCTGTTCTGTTCTGTTCATCTTCTTCGAATTTGTTCTGTTTACATTTGTTCTATTGTGTTTGTTCTGTTGTTCAAATTCACTCTATTCTGTTGAACTAATTCTATTCTCTTGTATTCTGTTCTATTCTTTCTAATGTATATATTTGTTATATATGGCGTTATTTTAATGACAAATGTCGAGAGCGCATTATTGTAGCGCGAAAGCACATTAATATAATGCGCGAGCGCGGATCTCTCCGCTCGCGCGCGGATTTCCTTTGCTCTCGCACAAAACCGGACATAATGCGCTCTCGACATTTGTCATTAAAATAACGCCATAGTTATATTGTTTTCTGTAGTTTACATATGTTATATTGCATTCTATTCTGTTCAAATTAACTCTATTCTGTTAAACCCATTCTATTCTGTTCTTTATAATGTTAAAATTTGTTCTATTTTGTACTGTTGTGTTGGTAGATTTGTTCTATTTGGTTATGTTGTTCAAATTCACTTTATTCTGTCAAACTCGTTCTATTCTATTCTATTCCGTTCTATTCTGTTCTGTTCTTTATAATGTTAAAATTTGTTCTATTTTGTACTGTTGTGTTGGTAGTTTTGTTCTATTGTGTTATGTTGTTCAAATTCACTATATTCTGTTAAACTCATTCTATTCCATTCTACTGTATTCTATACTTATGTTCAAATTTTTTCTGCTTTGTTCTTTTGTTTACATTTGTGCTATGTTCTGTTCTGTTGTTCATATTATTTTGTTAAACCCATTCTGTTTTGTTTTGTTCTGTTCTATTCTATTCTTTCTAATGTTTACATTTGTTCTATTTAGTTATTTTTACATTTGTTCTATTATGTTTAGTGCAACTCATTCTATTCTATTCTATTCTATTCTATTCTAATGTTCAGTTTTATTATATTTTGTTCTGTTGTCCACATTTGTTCTCTTTTATTGTGTTGTTCAAATTAACTCTATTCTGATAAATTCTGTTCTGTTCTGTTCTATTCTATTTTCTCAGGATAGGTACATACTAGGAATGGCAAATGTCAAAAATGCAACTACTTTCAAATGTCACAAGAAATCCTGTCAAATGATGTGGATGCTCACATTATAAAATATGATGTATATAATACATACTGTAAACATTATTCATACATTTGTACATAACATTTATACTCGCATTCATCTCAAATGAAACAAATGTGCCGAATGTGCGTACTTACTGTGACTCCCCTCCGCTCTCTGGGAGGGTCCTGTAGATAAACAGGTTGCTGATTGGCCACACTAACGAGGGCCTGCAAGCCGGTTGGTTCCTGGACAGCGTTCAGATCTGGGTGCCGGTGCACGGGCTGCAGTACATGTTCCCCAGTCACCGCTGGCTCTGTAAGGACGAGGCTGATGGGAAGGTGGAGGTGGAAATCTATCCAAGTGAGACGCTGGAGATTGAGAAATGTATGTATTTCACAATTTTGCATTTGATAAATGCAGTTCTTGCATTCCCTGGGAATCATACCCATGACGTTGGTGTTGTAGTCACCATGCTTTTTCACTATATGCACAGAAAAAATTAGACTTCATGTTGAAATCCAGCTACTGTGAACTAAAAATGATCAATCATTGTTTTTCTAATCGGCAGTGATCAATTATGAAGTTACCGTGGTGACAGGAGACGTATGGACCGGGGGGACAAATGCGAACGTCTTCCTGCAGATTTACGGTGAGGAGGGAAAAACCGAACTAATACAGCTGAAGAGCCGATCCAACAACTTTGAGAGAGGAACCACTGAGATCTTTAGGGTGGGTTAATGGAGTTGTAGATGAAAATCCTACTCTATATTTTAAAAGCTGTGACGTTTCTGGAATCCGGTTGTTTGTTTCTGAAGAGATGCATTTTCATTGGTTGATTTAAGATCGAGGGCCTAGATGTGGGACGGGTCTATAAGATCCGAATCGGTCATGACGGCTCAGGAATAGGGGCTGGATGGTTCTTGGAGAAAGTGGACGTTAAACGGCTGGTCATGGCAATGGTGAAACCAGAGAAGAAAGAGGAGGACAAGAAAGACAAAAAGAAGAAAAAGAAGAAAAAGGTTTGACAGTTAGGTCTTTGCTTTTAAAACAAAAAGCGTATTTTCTTGATTTAAACCTTCATTTAGAATTTATTCAGTCTAGTCCAGCAACTAAATGTTCAATACTGAGAGTGACCAAATTGAACATTTTCAGAATGAGCAATTGAAAAACGAATATTGATTGACCACTATTTAAATATTTATTTTTACACCCATCTAATCATCTCTAGGAGGAAGAAGAATCCCCAGGTGAACTGAAGGAGGTTGTTCGAACTTTCAGTTTCCCATGTGGCCGATGGCTCGCTCGTGATGAAGAGGATGGAGAGATACTCGTGGAGCTGCGTGCTGAGGATTATGAAGATCTGGAGGGTATAGAGAGAGATTCAATCCTTCACAACCAAAAATTATATATAAAAAACAATTAATTTTAAATAAATGTTTTTTTAGGAAAATGAATCGTTTATTTAAAATGTACAAAGTAATAAATTTACATTTATTTATTAATAATTAATTAATTGATGTATATATATATATATATATATACATTTATTTATAAAATATACATTTTTAAGAAATGTATTAATAAATATGTATTATGCGTTTGAAAAATTATATGTGTATATTTTAAATTAATATTTGTAATATAATTGATACATTAAATTCATAAATAAATGTGTTTATACATTTTTATAAATACATTTTTAAATGAATTTGAAATACTATATATATTTTATTTCATTAATGATTTCATTTAAGATAAAATAAATGTAGTGTAACTAAGATCTTTTCATGAAAATTTGCTTATAAATTGTGACCCTGGAGCACAAAAGCAGTCTTAAGTCGCTGGGGTATATTTGTAGCAATAGCCAAAAAAACATTGTATGGGTCAAAATTATAGATTTTTCTTTTATGCCAAAAATCATTAGGATATTAAGTAAAGATCATGTTCCATGAAGATATTTTGTAAATTTCCTACTGTAAATATATCAAAACTTAATTTTTGATTAGTAATATGCATTGCTAAGAACTTAATTTGAACAACTTTAAAGGTGATTTTCTGAATATTTAGATCTTTTTGCACCCTCAGATTCCAGATTTTCAAATAGTTGTATCTCGGCCAAATATTTTTCTATCCTAACAAACCATACATCAATGGAAAGCTTGTTTATTCGGCTTTCATATGATGTATTGAAATCTCAATTTCAAAAAATGGACCCTTATGACTGGTTTTGTGGTCCATGGTCACAATTGTGCTTGTGCTCATTTGCTTTCAAATAAATTTGATATGAATTAAAATAAAATTGTTTGCTATTTTGTTATCTAATACAATAAGATTCAGACATTCCAAGTGTGTCTGAAGTGTAAAAATACCTTCTGTCATGGTAGCAATGTACCACCTGATACCTTCAACAGAAGTGAATTTTGAGAAGACACTTGTGTGTTCATGTATTTTAGAGAATTCATACGAGGTTCATGTGTTCACTGGGGATATGCTGGGGGCCGGAACCGATGCGAGTGTTTACATCAACGTCTATGGAGAAATGGGCGACACGGGCGAGAGAAAACTACGCAAGTCAAACCACCTTAACAAGTTTGAGCGCGGACAGGTGAGTGGAACAAAACACCCACACATTCACACTGTATAGAGAATGTACCTGACTGCGGATCATTTTCAGGAGGATGTGTTCACGATCACTGGGATGGATCTGGGGCCCTTGAAGAAACTGAGGATGCGTCATGACAACAAGCAGGCGAATGCTGCGTGGTATCTGGACCGCGTCGAGATCTTTGATGTGAAAGATGAAACCATGTGAGTGTCATGCACGTAATGTATTTCTCATTTAAGTACCAACTTTGTGTCCCTTAACATTTCTCAGGAGAAATTGTTAATGTATAGTAAGAGTTGAGAGCTATACAATTAATATGGTTTGCAGTTTTGCAGCTTTAATATTGGGTATGCTAGATGAGAAATGTTTGAGTTGATATTGACTTTTGATTGCAGAAATTGCTTAAATATTTATTTTAAATAAATAAATTTTAAGGAAATAAATCATTTATTTACAATGTATAAATTAATGAATACGTTGAAATTTATAAAAAAAAAAAAAAAAGAGTATAATTTCAGACATTTTTTTAAATCATCAAGAGGCGACGTAGGGTTACTGAGCCGTTATTTTAGTATCATTAATGTACTATTATAGTTTTTGTTAATATTTTGAATTAGATTTTTTTTATATTTAATATTTGATTTTTTTAGATTTTTTTATTTTATTTTAATTTTAGTAATGTATTTTATTCGTTTTTTCCCCTAAATATCACTATATGTTTTTTGTTAAGTTTTAGCTTTTAGTTTAAGTTTGAATTATTTTAATATTTAAAACTTAAACTAAATGAAAATGAGAAATGTTGCCCTTGCTGAAATATATATATATATATATATATATACATATACATATTTACATTTTCTTTTATTACAGTTAATATTTATTCTATTTCAAGTATTGAAAATGTTTTTTTAATGGGTTTAGTTTTAGTTTCAGTTTTTAGTTCCTCAGATGAAAAATGTGATGCTTACTTGCCCGACTGAATCTAATCACTGGCTAAAGAGAAACAACTGACATATTATAGTGATTTCTCTTTTCTGTGGACTTTGTTGACCTTATTTGTGTGTGTTGTTCAGGTATTTTTTCCCCTGTCAGCGCTGGTTGGCGGTTGATGAAGATGACGGGCAGCTGGGCCGTGAATTAGTGCCCGTAGACGAGGCTTTCATGAAGAGAGATGAAGATGAAGAAGAGGAGTCATCACCTGCTCAACTCGGACTAGAGCAAAAAGGTCTCTTGAACGTTATACAAGTGTTCTGCTTTAGCCTAATGGCATTGGCTTATTGCATTGATATTACATTGATCATGTCTGTGTGTAGCCATGTCAACCACGTTCACAATGAGAGTAAAAACAGGGGAGAAGAAGAGCGCCGGGACAGATGCAAACATTTATGCTATTCTTTATGGAACCAAAGACGACACTGGTAACTATGAAAACAATTCAGATTGTACTGTTAGTACTGTTAGCCCATCTGCTACTGAAAAGTGTGTTTGTGTGTGTCAGGTATCATTAATCTAAAGGCGTTTAAGAACCATAGGAACAAGTATGAGTTGGGACTGATTGACGAGTTCACCATTGAGGCAGTGGACATCAGAAAACTCAAGAGAATCCGCATCGGCCACGACAACGCAGGTACACACATTCACATCAGAGATCACTCTATAATGTTTCAAATATTTATGCAAATATGCTGAATCTGCATTCTGTTGAACTGAACTCTGGTTGAGTTCAAATCTGTGCATTGATGATTGACGTGTGTGCGTGTGCTCGTCTGTGTGTTTACACTGTAACGAATCGCTGTTCTTTTTATAGCAAAAAACAAAAGTAATGTACATCCATTCCTATTAATGCTATTGTGTTGTTAAAAAGAGTGATGCTATTTACAGATAGTATAAAGACATGAGTTATAAACTGTATTTGTACTCTAAAACATAATCGTAATGATGTTTCTGATTCTGCTTATTTTTTATTATTTTCGTATTTTAAAAATACTTAATTATACAGTGAAAATCATCTATTATGCATGAAAAAAAACTAGTGTTCATTTGGGGTTGGTTAAAAACAAATGAATACTTTTATTTAGCAAGGATGGGTGAAATTTATCAAAAGTGACAGAAAAGACATTTATAATGTTACAAAAGATGTCTATTTCAAATAAATGTTATTATTTTTAATTTTTTCTATTCATCAAAAAATCCAGAAAATACATATTAGAATGATTTCTGAAGGATCATGTGACACTGAAGACTGGAGTAATGATCGTGAAAATTCAGCTTTGATCACAGCAATAAATGACATTTTACAGTATATTAAAATAGAAAACATTCATTTTAAATTGTAATAATATTTCACTATATTAATGGTTTTACTGTATTTTTGATCAATTTTTGATAAATGCAGTCTTTGATGACTTCTCTCAAAAACATGACAAAAAAGTGCAAAACATAAAAGTTGTTAAAAAAATATGCAAGTTTAAATTTAAGTAATGTGCATGCATAAAGAAAATGAAGGTTTATTTATATCCATATGAATCTGTGTCAGTATCTTTGTCATTTATGCCTTTATGTCTTTTTTGCATTAAATTGTCACTTAATTTGTGATCATTTAATTTCACTGGCTTTCTTCTGGCTTTCTGAATCCAGCATTGGTGTAAATCCTACAGACAATTACTTACAGTGTACATGTGTGTATGTGGTGTTGCACGTGTCTCTGTGTGTGTATGTTTTGTGTATGTGTGTGTTTGGGGGGGGGTTGTCCTGTTTTTCAGGTGCGTCTCCAGGCTGGTTTTTGGACTGGGTAGAGATTGATGCTCCGTCTCTGGGTCAGCTGCTGCTCTTTCCATGTGGCCGCTGGTTGGATAAAGGAAAAGACGATGGTGCCATTGTCAGAGACCTGTACCCTAATGAACTGCAGACAGTACTATACACACCCTGTATGATACATGTTTATGTAGCTAATTATAATGATTACAGACTAATACTAAACCTTATTTACTTCATGTTTTATAAATACAGATAGATGAAAATTTGTGCCATAACACTCATAGACAGACCAACACAGGCTGTTCGTGATTCATGTGATTTCCTCTTTTGTGCTGCAGTTGTTCCCTATGAGATTAAAATCTTCACCAGTGATATATTTGCTGCGGGAACGGACGCAGACGTCTTCATTGTTCTGTACGGGCAGAACGGAGTGTGTACGTCTCAGAAGTCTCTCTGCGTCAACAAGAGAGAGAGGAGGATGTACTTTGAACGAGGGGCGGAGGACATGTTCATTGTAGAGGTAAATGAGCAGATCGTTTCTGTGCTGCTCAACATAAATATAAAACTAGGGTTGAAAGATGATGCTATTTGTCCTGCTTTATGTGCTGCGTTTTGCTGGTGAAGTTTTGTTGCTGGACCAACAACAGACCAGTACAACTGGCATAAACCAGCCAGTGTTATTTTAGTATCACTGAGAAACCTTTATAGTTTTTACTGAAATTTGGAATCGGATTTTAATATTCTGTTTTCACTTTAGTTTTAGTTCAAGTTTTAGTAATTTTATTGTGTGTTTTTGTCATTGTTAATAGTAGTAGTAGTACTAGTAATGTTTATATAGTTTTATTCATTTTAGTACATCAAGTGAAACTAAACTAAAATGAGAAATGTTGCCTTGGTAACTAGTTAAAGTGCCCCTATTATGGATTTTTGAAAATTACCTTTCATGCAGTGTGTAACACAGCTCTAAGTGAATGAAAACATCCTGCAAAGTTTTAAATCTGAAAGTGCACCGTGTATTAAGCTATTGTCTCTCAAACGAAAGAGTCGACTCGTTTTTAAAACGAATCCTAAGCCGTTTCATGTTGAAGTCATCATGAAACATTAGCATATTGCCCGCCCACTTGTTGGTCTTTTCGCATTGGTCTGAATGAAAATGCAAATTCATTCTTTGCCACTAGGTGCCACTTTTGGAGCGGTAAAATAGCGGTTTCCACGGTAACGCTGTACACAAAGTAGTACTGCGCTCACAAACGCTGCTTTATCAGGCATTACAGGCGAGATGAAATGAAAATGAGACCAATCGGATCAATCACCGCAGATTAGCGTCACGCAAAGGAGGGGTTTGGAAAAATGAATCGTTGAGCGAATCGTTTGGGAGCCATTGAGCAAGTAAGGTAAAAATAAATGCATATTATAAGACAATGAAAGTGTTTTTTGACCTTGCATGCATGTCAACCTGTTGTTGGGGACTCCCAAAACCAAAATATGAACATTTCACTACCCATAATAGGGGCACTTTAAAATAAAGTTTTATTTAATTTAATGTTTATTTTATTTCAAGGAACATTTTTTTATGGTTTTAATTTTACTTTCAGTTTTATTTTATTTTTTACTAAAATAACCCTAAAACCAACCTGAACTAATAGAAATTCATCTGGGTCTTCGTTTCATCTTAACTTTTCTATTAATAATTTTAATGCAAGGCTTACACTGACAGCAGTGATGTTGATGTTGATTCTGGGCTTCTGCAGTTGGAAGACATTGGCGATATCATTGAGAAAATCCGTATCGGTCACGATAATCGAGGGGTGAATCCTGGCTGGCATTTAGACCGTGTGGAAATTCGCCGACTTCTCCGTAAAGGGAAGGTATTGAGCTTTATCTTACAGTACTTTACTGAACTTTATCTCTGTTAGAAAGAGATCAACTGCTTTTGTACAAATCTGCATGTATGTACAGTTAAACATGACAGACTTCTTGAAATGCAGTTGGGTTTGTCTAATCTCAGCCCACAGCATTTTTGGAAAACTCTCAATGGATCCAGAAATACATATCCTGCCAATTTCAGCCCCCTAAATGTCACTTAAAACGGCAAACTGTGGCTGATCTTTTCATACGTTGATCAGACTGCCTTTCCTGCGTAAGTGCTCGTTTTTGGCCAGACTAAGCTATGCTTTGGACAAGATATATTGGTCTTAATTCTGGCAACGTGAAACTTGGTTGAGTCTAGAATGTTCCCATCTGGCTGTGGAAAACCTTCTTTTCCTCTCCGCTGTCTGTCGTACACCCATTTCATTGACCCACATCTGCTCTCTGTTGCCGTTTGTTTAATTAGTTCTAGTGACTAATCTTCTCTGACCTGTCGCTCCACTCCAGCGCTATCTGTGTACAGTAGAGGAGTGAAACGCATCAGATCACACCAGCGTGACACTCTGGTATCAACATTCACGTCCACCGTTTACCAGCAGAAACTGTTTATTTACAGTACCCTTTTTTTAAACAAAGGAATACTTTAATTCAGCAAGGATGCATTAAATCGCTCAATAGTGACAGTAAAGACATTTATAATGGTACAGACGATTTCTATTTCAAATAGGTGCTATTTTGAAATTTCAATTCATTAATGAATCTTGAAAAAAATATATCATAGTTGCCACAAAAATATGAAGCAGCAAAACTGTTTTCAGCTTTGCTAATAATAAGAAATATTTTTTGAGCAGCAAATCAGCTTATTAGAATGATTTCTAAAGGATCATGTGACACTGAAGACTGGAGTAATGATGCTGAAAATTCAGCTTTGATCACACGAATAAATTAAATTTTAACATATATTACAATAGAAAGCAGCCATTTGAAATTGTAATGTTTCACAATTTTCTTTGTATCTTTGTAGCAAATAATTATAAATGCAGAAATGGTGAGCGTAAGAGATTCTTTCAAATAAATCTTACCGATCTCAAACTTTTGAATGGTATAGTGTATTACATACTTTCAGCCTTGCCCGTGTGACAGATTTTGATATTTGATGGATTATTTTATGAATTGGCTGATTATTAGATAATTATTTTACTGAAATTTAAAACTAGCCTCCTCTACCCCATTTTTCTGCCCAGACTGGTCAGTTTACCACTAAACAGGTAGTCCTGTAGGATAAAGTACTGCAACAGTGAATAAATTACACATTTAAAGGGATAGTTCACCCAAAAATGAAAATTCTGTCATTAATTACTCACCCTCATGTCGTTCCAAAACAGTAAGACCTTCCTTCATCTTCGGAACACAAATTAAGATATTTTTGATGGAATCCGAGAGCTCTCTGACACGATCAAGGTCCAGAGTAAGGTAGTAAGGACATCGTTAAAACAGTCCATGTGACATCAGTGGTTCAACCGTAATTTTACGAAACTACGAGAATACGTTTTGTGCACAAAGAAAACAAAAATACTTTAGACTTTATTCAACAATTCGTCTCCTCCGCATCACCCTATAGCGCCATTTTGGAGAGTATCACATACGTAAACAACGTATGCTGTTCTGTGTCAGCAGCACCGTATGTGGATACGTTGTTTATGCTTTGATCTGAACGTAAACACTGTGTACATACGTTGTTTACGTATGTGATACTCTCCAAAATGGCGCCAGGGTGACGCGGAGACGAGGAATTGTTGAATAAAGTCATTATTTTAGTTTTCTTTGTGCACAAAAAGTATTCTCGTAGCTTCGTAAAACGTACGGTTGAACCACTGATGTCACATGGTTTATTTTAACGATGTCCTTACTACATTTCTGAGCCTTGATCTTGTAAGGATCCTTGCTGTCTATGGAGGGTCAGAGAGCTCTCAGAATTCATCGGAATATCTTCATTTGTGTTCCGAAAGTGAACGACGGTCTTACGGATTTGGAACGACATGAGGGTGAGTAATTAATAACAGAATTTTCATTTTTGGGTGAACCATTCCTTTAACCTTTGAATGAGCACTTCATGGTATTATTAATAAAATTTCCTTTAAAGGGGTCATATGATGCTGCTAAAAAGAACATTATTTTGTGTATTTGGTGTAATGAAATGTTTATGCGGTTTAAGGTTCAAAAAACATTAAATTGAAATCGCATCATATGACCCCTTTAATAAAATGTAAAGGACTAATATTCAACATGTCAAGACTCAAAAATGCGTGTTCATGCAGGGCTCTGAGACTGCAATATTCCCGTTTGAGGGATGGTTGGCTCGCTCGGAGGAGGACGGTGAGACGATTCGAGAGCTGGTACCGTCTGACATCATCGTAGAGAAACTTTCACGAGACGGAACCCTCAAAGTCATCGAGACAGAGGTGGACGACGCACTGGAGAGTAAGTGTGTGGACAGTTTTCCATTTAGAATTACCTATATGTACTATATTTATGCATTCGACAGACTCCTAGTTTTATGCAAATGACTGCATTCAAACTATACATTTTTGTGTGTTGCAGTACACACATATACAGTGACAGTGACCACGGGGGATGTGTATGGAGCGGGAACCGATGCCAACGTGTTCATCACTCTTTATGGAGACATGGGCGACACTGGAGAACGCAAACTCAGCAAGTCTGAGAACAGCAACAAGTTTGAGAGAGGATCGGTGAGACACAAATACACGTCTTTATGAGGAGATCATCCTAATGCTTCTTAATTTTGGATTAATTTTGGGTGAAAATTGAACCTATATGAAGCTGTTGTGGCAATGTCCTCATAAGGCTTGTCAGGTTTTACTATCCTGTGTCTTCAGACATTTTGACACCATTAAAACAAAGACAATTTAAAACAACCATTCAGAGTTTGGGCTCTGTAAGATTTTAAAAATGTTTTTGAAAGAAGTCTCTTCTGCTCACAAAGGCTGCATTTATTTGATCAAAAATACAGTAAAGATTATGAAACATTATTACAATTTAAATGAACTTTTTTCTATTTTAATATATATTCAGTGTTCAAACTGAATTTTCAGCATCATTACTTCAGTGTCACATGAGCCTTCTGAAATCATTCTAGTGTTGATTTGCTGCTCAAGAAACATTTCTTGTTATCAGTGTTGAAAATAGTTGTTTTTTTTTAACACCATAAATGTCTTTACTGATCATCACTTTTTAATGCACCTTTGCGGAATAAAATTATTACTGACACCAAACATTTCAACAGTAGTGGACCTGCCCTCTGATTGGCTGCTGACAACAACTGCTTCTGATTGGTCAGGTGGACACATTCACCCTGGAGGCTGTGGATCTGGGCCAGGTGTTCAAGATCCGCGTTCGCCATGACAACAGCATGCTGAGTGCTGATTGGTACCTGGAACAGGTGGAAGTGGTGGACCAAGATACGGAGGAAGTGTTTCTGTTTTTGTGCGAGCGATGGCTTTCGAGAAAGAAGGAGGACAAACGGATCGACAGGGTGTTCTACGTTAAGGTCTGCCTGCATGTGTGCATGTGTGCACCTGTGCATGCATGCGTTAACAATGTTACAGCGTCACAGACTAGTCTAGAGCACATCCAGATGTATATACTGTGTGTATATGTGTGTGTAGGGGTATGAGGGAGAGCGAGAGACTGCCTTCTGTCCAATTAAAAAAGTGACAAATCTGGACAGCAACATGAACAAGAAAAACAAGAAACGGCATTCAGAAGAAGAAGACGAGGAAGGATCATGTATGTATAAGCATATAGAGTCCCACTCCACAACATACAGTGGGCTTCAAAGGTCTGAGACCATCAATTGTGCAATTTTGGATTTTTATATCATTTAATATAATATTTTCATTACAAATTATATGCTAACATACAATTTACAAGAAGGTCTACTTTTTTCTCACATCTATTTATCTTTGTGAATGTTAGTAAAAATATTATTGTTCATTGTTTGTTCATGTTAGTTTACAGTGCATTAAATAATGTTAACAGATACAGCTTTTGATTTAAAAATGTATTAGTAAATGTTTACATTAACTTTAATAAATGCTTAAGGAGTAATGTTCATTGTTGGTTCATGTTATGAAACCTTATTGTAAAGTGTTACCAATTATATTATCAGTGTTAAAATGTAAGTGAAATGTAATAAATTTTAGGTGCAATCTTTTTCCCCCAAATTTGTAAAAATGTAAATATTATTCATTTAACATGTCAACTTATAATATTGTTTAAATATTTTTTAAATTAAATTAAATTTAATTTAATTTAAAGCCCTGGCAACCACCCACCCTTATGATATTTCAAATTATAATATTGTTAAAATATTTAATTTAATTTAATTTAATTTAAAGCCCTGGCAACACCCTTGCATCGTGAAAGTTTTTTCATGAGTAAACACCACTATTCTCTAGTTGAATTTAATATGAGGGGAAAAATTAAATGTGTGTGTGTGTGTGTGTGTGTGTGTGTGTGTGTGTGTATATAGTGATTCCCTACCACTTCTCGGTGACGACGGGTTCGGATCGGGATGCTGGGACGAGTAGCCGAGTGTATGTCATCATCATAGGAAAGAAGAACATAAAGACAGATCGCCTCTGGCTCGACTTGGATGGGAAAAACGGATTCCTGCCTGGATCCTTGGATTACTTCATCTGTTACGGAACTGATGTTGGTGACATCAAGAAAGTGGAAGTGAGAGAAAGCACACACACAGATTCAGTAGTTTGCATTCGTAAGCTCAATGTACGGCAGACGTCAGATTGTTGGTTTGTGTTGTGTTTGTAGTTGGGTCATGATGGGGCGACTCCAGAGAGCTGCTGGTTAGTAGAGGAGTTGACTGTTGACGTGCCGACTAAAGCAGTGCGCTACGTGTTTCCCTGTAAATGCTGGTTGGCCAAAGACAGAGGAGATGGACTCACCGCCCGTTTCTTAGATGTACAGGATGCAGAAACTGTCAACATCCCACAGAAGGTACACCATTCCATTTCATTCAGCCTTAAAAATATAAATAGCTCATGTAAGGTGTTTACTTCCCATGTTTATTCTTTATTTTATTAAAAATTATTATATTTTATTACAGTATATACTGTACTATTCAAAAGTGAAGGGTTGGTATGATTTTTTAAAATGTGTTTGAAATAAACCTCTTCTGCTCACCAAGGCTGCATTTATTTGATCATTACTCCAGTCTTCAGTGTCACATGATCCTTCAGAAATCATTCCAATATCCTGATTTGCTGCTGTATACTACAGTAAGTGTACTTCACGAAAGATATTTTTCTTCTAGGTGATCTATGAGGTAACGGTGATAACAGGAGATGTCCAGCATGCAGGTACAGACACACAGATCTACATGACTGTATTTGGAGTCTACGGCACGTCAGAAGAAATGCTGCTGCCAAAATTAGAGGACAGGTGCATATGCACACACACACACACACACACACACACACACACACAGACAGAAACACAAGGATAATGTACAGTCAGCTGGTGATTATTGCAAGATAAATGTAATGTTTTCATGCTGATTATTTTGCAAAAATATTGATTTGAGTTGAAAAATACAAGAATAAAATTAGAATGTAACTATTAGCAAATAGGTTACCTGCAGTGTTCTTTTATTAACAATCATATACTACTATAGATTTTGTTAATATTTTGGATTAGACTTTATTTATATTTTCTGTTTTCACTTTAATTTTAGTTAGGTTTAGTAATTTTGTTGTTTGTTTTTATTCATTTTTAAAATGTCTAGTTTTATTTTGTATTAATTTAGTTAAGTACAAGTGTTACATCTAAACTTACAGTAAATAGCTGCAATAAAAGAAGTATTTTTTAGTGTATTATATTATTTCAGTTAATATTTTATTTCAAGTAACTACATTTTTTATGGTTTTAGTTAACTATAACAACCCTGGTTACCTGGGACCACAGTCTCTTAAAAATTATGATTATGCATATTTTCTCATGTCTCATTTTTGTGTTTAATGTGTGAAGATTTGAACGAGGGCAGAAGGACACATTCAATCTGGAGATTGAGGATATCGCTCCTTTGAGAAAGATGAGAGTGCGTATAGATGGTTCTGGAAGCAGACCCGACTGGTTCCTGGATAAGGTTTGTAAGAGAAAGTGACATACATATACTGTAATTTCGCAAGCCTTTAAAAATATTAATGCGTGTATGTATGTACTGTAGATTGAACTGCATAACCTGCAGACGGACGAAGTGGCGTTATTTATGTACGAGGAATGGCTGTCTCGCTCATACGGGCCCAAGCGAACGCTCCTATGCGAGATGCCTGCAGTAATAAATGATGAGGAAATGGTGGAGCTCACCATCTACACCATTTCTGTGAAGACCAGCGATGTAACTGGTGCGCACTTCTTTGTAGTGTCTACAACTACTTAAAAACAATTCTTCGATTGGTTGTGTTTATGGTCACAGATACAGCAGTTTGTAACCTATGATTGGTTGCTTTTTAGCGGCTGGAACCGATGCTAATGTGTGGATGATTATTTTCGGAGAGAACGGTGACACTGGAACGCTGACTCTGAAAGAAAGCAACAACACCAACAAGTTTGAGCGCAAACAGACGGATACGTTCCGTTTCCCTGACATCCTCAGCTTGGGCGAGCTCTCGAAAGTACGCATTTGGCACGACAACTCAGGTGAGCCAATCAAAGCGCTCAGAACAACACTCGCGATGAGCAGATTAGGAAGTTAAACTCAAGGTAGGCCTGTCATCAGACCTGTATATGTTTATATGCTCAAAGCAAGTGTGTGTTTGTGTTGACAGGTCTGGCTGCCGGTTGGCACCTGGAGTATGTAGACGTGCATGATGACATCTTGGGGAAGAAGTTTCGTTTCCAGTGTGACCGCTGGCTCGCCAAGAAAGAGGATGATGGACAGATAATGAGAGAGCTGGCGTGTGCCAACAACGATGCAGTGGATTTTGATGAAAAAACCAGTGAGACACACAAGAGTTCACACACACACACACACACACACACACACACATACAAGTGGAGTGAAGTAAAAACAGTTAAATTTGACAGAATTCAGTTGGAGTTCATAACTTGCCCATTTGCAACCCATTTTACTTCCATAATGGGACGTATTTCCAAGTGAAACAGAATATTAAGTGGGAACTGAATGGATGGAAAAGTGTCTCTGTATAACGGGGGATTGAAGGGAATGACATGATTTCTTTGGAATAACATGCACGGATGAATCATTCGCTAAAAGATCATTAATGTGTATTGAAAGCTACATTTAAAGTACTTAATTGTTGAATGAATGAATTGCAAATATTTATCTTTTTTGTTTTATTTTATCTGGAAATATTTGTAAACAGTTTCTTAGTCTTATATTTTTATATTTTTATCAATTTGATCATTTATTTGATAATTTATATATATAGATATATATACATACATTAAATAAATTATCAAATTGATAAATATATAAATATAAGACTAAGAATCTGTTTTCAACTTTGATAATAAGAACCATTATTAATTAGAATTATTACTTAATTATTCAATTAATGACACTGGAGTAATGGCTGCTGAAAATTCAGCTTTGCCATCACAGGAATAAATTACATTTTAAAATATATTACAGTAGAAAACAGTTATTTTAAATTGTAATAATATTTTACAATATTACTGTTTTTATTGTGTTTTAAAACAATTAAAAGCAGTCTTGGTGTGCAGAAAAGTCTTGCAAAACAATAAAACAATCGTAATTATTTGCATATGTAAATTTGAAATTCTAATATATATATATATATATATATATTAGATTTTAGATAATATAACTGCACGTGTTTTGCCTCATACAGAATATGAAATCTTGGTCACGACAGCAGATATGGATGATGCTGAAACCAAAGAGAACGCCTGGACCGTTCTAGAAGGGAAGAAAGGACGTTCCAAAGAGTTTGTGATGGAGAACTCAACTAAAAAGAAGCGTTTTTTGCGGTAGGTGTACATTTGTTTCTCAGCTGGTATTCATTTCTAATTGGTTAGCATGTGTTATGCTGCTCCATGTGTGATTTCAGAGGCGCTAAAGACCGCTTTGAGTTCTCCTCCAAGGAGCTGGGAGACATCGCTAGTATCTGTCTGGGACACATCCCTAAAGATGGCAAGAAAGTCAAAGTGGAAGCCTCCTGGTTTGTGGAGGAGGTTGTTGTCACGGAGAAGGAGCTGGGCAATAAGTGAGTGATCTTTGAAGAGACTCAAAAATGTAATCATTTACTCACCCTCAAGCTTTTCTAAACCTGTATGAGCTTTTTTTTCCCTGCTGTACACAAAAAAAGATATTTTGAAGAATGCTGGTAACTAAACAGTTACTGGTAGCCATTGACTTCCAAAGTATGGAAAAAAATACAATGGAAGTCAATGGCGACCAGCCATTAAATTATGGTTTAAACCTCAGGATCTGGACTACTGAGGCTAGTATATGCATGCTCTGTATTATCCATAATCTGTCCTATTTCACTCAGGTATATCTTCCGTTGTGACGCCGCCATCCCTCTTTCCTCAAAACGGGATGAGTTCCAAACTTTCGAGTGCAGCAAGTTCATCGAGAGCTTCACCAGCAAGTCCCAAAGCCTCGTACCTGTAAAATACGAGCTCATCGTTATCACGGGAGACGAGAAGGGCGCAGGCACCGACGCCAACGTCTTCATCACCATCTTCGGCTCCAACGGCGACTCCGGCCAGAGGCAGCTTACCAAGAAGTTCCAGAACCTGTTTGAGCGCGGCCAGACGAACCGGTTTATTCTGGAACTGCTGGGCCTGGGCGATCTGCTCCGCATTCACGTGGAACACGATAACTCCGGACTCAGTCCCGGATGGCTTCTGAGCAGGATCGAGATTACAAACACGGCCAACGCTGTGACCACGATCTTCATTTGTGGGAAATGGCTGGACAAAAACAAAGCGGACGGGAGGATAAAGCGCGTGATCTATCCAAAGTATTGACATTTAATCAACCAGTCAATGGTCCAGTCAGTATTACTAATGAATATTCATTACACGACATGGTCATATCAACGATCCTTTGATTGTTTACACACTAATGTCGTACCAAACCTTTATGACTTTGTGAAACACAAAAGAAGATCTCAGTGTTTTTTGTCTATAATGTTGACAGTCAATGGGATCTGATGTTGTTTGGACCCAAACAGTATCTTCTTTTGTGTTCAACAATAGAAAGAAAGCCATACAGGTTTGGATGTCCATTTTTGGGTGAATTATCCCTTTATAGATGAGGTAACCTCTTTGATGTTTTCCAGCCACAGCTATAAGTAAACCATGACTAAGCTGATGGTTGTAAGCTATACCTGCGTTTCATTCAGATCAGAAAGTCTTATTCCTACTTGAAGAACTGCGAAAGAATACCAACTTGAAGTCTGAATTATTGTATTTTTGCCATTCGTTTGGTCCCTAATGGATTAGAAATTACGCACTTCACCGTTAAATTGTAATGAAATTTCATTAAGAGATCCCTTAATGTTGTTGCTAAGAAAACTCGTATAATTATAAATGGAAAAAAGTTTAGTCACATACATTTGAGAAATTTCACAGGGAAAAAATTCAGATGCATGAAGCATTAACTGGAACACATGAACATGATTGATTGGATTCCTATTGAAATTACTGCATTTTGATCGCAGAAATTGGCCGAACAAAATTAAATGCGACTGCACCTATGTGAGTTTCTTTTTTCCGCTGAACACAGGAGATGTTTTGAAGAATGTTGGTAAGTAGCAATTGACTTTATAATATTTTTTGTCCATAATATGGAAGCCAATGGCTACCATCAACTGTTTGGTTACCAGCATTCCTCAAAATATCTTCTTTTGTGTTCAACAGAAGAAAGAAACTCATACAGGTTTGGAAGGACAATGAGAGAATTTTCATTTTTGCGTGAACTATCCCTTTAAGTTAAAGGTGCAGTTGCATTTACTGTCGTTTGACGAATTTATTGACAATAGACTGGACCTTTTTTGTATGCGGAATTTGGCCAATGTGATGCAGGGGTTTGTTGCAACTCACTGTTTATCCTGAAGCTGTTGAGAGCATGTCTGGTAATACTGATATTTGGGTTGATTTTTTTTCCCACTGAAGTGAATGGCAGCTGATTTTTTCATGTCATCTCAAGAACAATTTGAGCATGTGAATGTAAGAGTGGTTGAAGGAGTAACTGGCCAATCAAATCCACTCGCATTCGGACCACATGCATCACTCGGATTGTAATCACAGGATTTTGGTTTCATGAACATCCAGCCTGCTTGAGCTTCACCTCAGCTCTTCTCAAATCATTCAGAAAACTTTGGAAACCGTTGAAATAGAACAGTCCAGTCTTTCTCCCATCTTCCAGAGTGCCACCTCGCCAGCATGCCTCTAAAGAGTTTGTATGATTTGATGGATGTGTGAAAGAAGTTTTATTTGTATTTGTAAACATTATTATTTTGTACATATTGTTACCTCTGTGAGGAGTGCATGTGTGTGTAACAAGGTTTGTGGAGTAAAACTCAACCCTGAATCCACTGCTTCACTTTTGATCGTCTTTTAATATATTTACGTATTTAAGAATAATAGTATATAAAAACCTTACTGACTCCAAATGTTTGAATGGTAGTGTATATATAAAAAAATCGTATCAGGAATAAACCACTCAAATGTACTTTTTAATGGCACAAGAAGATACAAACAGAACCAAATTCATCATAGTGCATTGACACCTGGAAGTTGAAGTGCTCTGTGTGTGTTTAAGTGCTGTAAACTGTCTAAAGAGCTTTTGGTCACATTTGATCTGCATTCAACAGAAAAACAAACCTTTGACAGTAGGAACAATGGAACTCTTACTGATGTATGTGTATAAATGTGTATGTTAGTCGGCTCCCTCTGTGGTGACTGAAGACACAGCGTTGATGTAATAGGGTCCCTCTTTCAGGTAGGTCTTCAGCTTTAAGTAATTGTGTGCTCCAAAGATCTCCTGAGCGCTGGAGGAGCTCAGCAGCGCCCCCACCAGCTCAAACTTACAATCCTTGGCTTCTTTTCCCATCCCCACTGAGCGATCCATCACCCACTCCATGAATCCAGGAGTGTCCATCATCAGCTGCTGAGCCCACGGCTGACAGCCAATGGCCTGGACAGAAAACAGAGGACTAAACAGCTGAAACATGCATTTAAAGAGATCAACACACACACAAAGCATCGTTCGACTTCAGCTGGATTTAACAAACCGGAGCGATTTACTGCTTACAGTCAAGGGAGGAATTGAAAATTATGGAAGCTTATTTACTCCATGGAATAAACCAAAAAGTTAATTGTGACTTCTTTAAAATCTCAATTCTGACTTTTTTCCCTCGCAATTTTTCCTTCAGAATTTCTTTTAGAAAAGTGAGAAAAGTCTGAATTGTGAGATAAAAGCTCAGAAATGTGAGGGAAAAAAAGAATTGTGAGGAAAAAAGTAAGTTAAACTCAGAATTGGGAGATTAAAAACTCAGAATTATGAGAAAAGTCAGATTTGAGTCAAAAGTACTGTAAAATGTAAACTTAAAATTGCAAATAAAAAGTTTGAATTGTGAAAAAAAATTTGTGAAAAAAAAGCAAGAATAAGATGAGATGGAAACTCAGAATTGTGACAAAAATCTGAATTGTAAGATATGTGAGAAAAAAGGCTGAATTGAGAGGAAAAAAGTCAGAATTGTGATATATAAACTCAGAATTGAAAGAAAAAAAAAATAAAAATCTTGGAATTGTGAAAAAAAAGTCCAAATTGTGAAATGTAAACGTGAGAAAAAAGTTTGAACTGTGAGAAAAGGTTAAATATAAATAAAAATATAAATTCAGAATTGTGAAAAATAAAAACTTGAATTGTGACATAAAAACTGAGAAATGTCAGAAAAAGTTAGAATTTTGAGATAAAGTTGCAATCAGTTTTTTTTATTCCATGGCAGAAATAAGCTTCCATAGAAAACAGAGCCGTCAAGTTGGATGTTTTTCATTTAATACGTTATGTATTACTTAATACAGCACCTGTATGAACAAGAATAAAGTTCACATACGCCTTAACTGTTTAAATACCAATAATGTTGGGTCTACATTTCTATTTTTTTCTACATTTTTATAGTTTTATTTTGTATGTACAATGTACATACAATATATGTTGGTGACATTTCAAGACAAAATTTGTACAGGTTTGTACAGCACTGCATGAAGTCGAACACACACACACACACACACACACACACTCCTTCTTACAGTGAAGATTCGTAGCGCTCTGCAGTGGAGCTCTGGGAAGGGCTGTGTGCTTATGTTTCGGATCATCAGGATGGGCTGAGAGCTCAGACAGTTGAACCACGACTCGGTCAACAGTAACAGGTCATCCGTCTGCTGCTCCGCCTACACAAACCACAGACATCTCACAGCAAAAACCTCCATCTGAACACAAATCCTGTGAGAAAACACAGCGACACACTCACAGGCAACGTGAGCAGCTGAGCCAGAGCCTCCAAACATCTGACCCGGAGTTCAGTGGCTCCATCAGCGGCCACTTTACTCATTCTCTTCAGCGCAGATGTCAACTTCTCTCCTGTAACAGACGGCTGAGTGAGAAACAGTTCAAAAACCAAGTCAAGCAGCCCTGTAACTAGTAGGGCTAAGTATACTGATTCATTCGGGTTATTCTATTAAGCTATTCATTTGATTCAAATCAGATTCTGACATGGTTTGATTCAATTTTATACAACTGTTAAATTCTATAAAAATGATTGTAAAATTATAAATTGAAAACTTTAGTAATAAACACCCATGAAAGAGTATAGAGAGTTTGCGTCAATAAAGAGTCTTTCTGAATGATTCATAAGAGTCATTTGTCTGCGAATCAAACTACACTTGCCGTGCTGTACTGTACATTATTGCATGCCATAACTTCACTGAACTAACAGGTTTTATTAAAAGCAGATCTGAAACATAAACAGCCCTCATTTTGAATGGTGTATTATGCAGATGCGTTCACAAACACAGCTACCTGTTTTCTGCAGAACTTGTTTTCCCTCCACTGTGCTGCCGAGCACTCCGAGAGTATCCAGGGCAACAGGAGTCAATGTGGGGTCAAGGTTCATCACCATGGAGAAGACCACCTCAAGGAACACTGGGTACTTCTCACAAACCTGCTGAGGACTCTCCATGATCGCCAGACTGCCAAAGAACTTCACCAGTCCTATCAAAATAATAGTAATAATAAAAACAGAGAAAAAAGAATACTTACAGCAATGTAACAATTTGACATTTCCAATGATATAAGGATTTAAAAAGGATAAGGATTTAAAAATAAGTAAGATAGACGGACGGACGGACAGACAGATAGATAGATGGATTCATACACTCACATTCATACACTCACCTGGCAGGTAAAGGCTTGAGAAGGGGTCGGATTCTGCAGCGATGATCATGTTGGAGATTTTATCCATGATGCCTTGCTGTGCCAGATACTGACGGCCATGTTGACTCTGAGCCAGACTGGTCACCATCTCTATAGCAGTTGCTCTGGGAAGAGCAGAAAATAAGTTAATTTCTGTAGGCATAAAAGTGTTTTATATTGCATTATCATATTATGATTGTGTGTGTGAGATCCTTACCTGACCAACACATCGTCTCCGGTCAGTTCCTCCAGCATCTGTGAGATTAAACCGCTGTTGGCGCAGTAACCCAGAGACACTGGAGACACTGTGGACAACTCCACTATCAACTGCACACACACACACACACACACACACACACACACAACACGATTAGGCTTAAATCCATCATAAAGATCCCTCCTTCCATCCATAGATGATCACAAACCTCATAAACTCTGTATCTGATGATGTCACTGGTGAGCATCACATCCTTCAGCTTGTTTAGCAAATCAGAGCGGAACAGAGCATCTAGCCCTGCCTTCGTGTTGCTGAGTTTACTGAGGGCAGCTATCGCCTGACCAAAAACACAACAAAGCCAAATTAAAGGAAAAACGCAATCTTTAATGCATTTCATGCAAGAAAACCAGCGGTGTTGCAGTGCAGCGTAGGTCTCAGTACCTCTTTGGCCACATCGATACGCTCGACGCTGATGCACTGAATCACATCACGCAGGATCTCTGCACTGTTCAGCATCTGGGTCACTCCATCAGCGTGACCAGCCACACGGCCGATCTGAAACACAAAACCCCTTGTGGATCCAAGGCTGCGGAAGATGTGGACAGAGACTGCTGCGCTCTATAGTGCACCTTCAGCACTGACCTGTGTGAGCGTGAGCATTTTGACCGAGTCGTTCGGATGATTCAGTCCGCTCTGGAGCGCCGTCTTGTAGTTCTGAGCCAGCTGAATGGGCTCTAGAGCCTGCAGGACACGACTCAGGATTTCCACACACACCTCGATCTGCTCTCTGCACCAAAACACTCCATTTAGTTTTGCATGACATGTTTCACCCTTTCTCTATTCTCAGCTTAATTTTTGAAAGAATATTCCTGAACCTAATAAATGCACACACACACACACACACACACACACACACACACACACACACACACACACAC